AAATAGTTTATTTATAAAGTATGTTACTGCCTAGTAACAGAGAGAAGATCACAAAAAACAACTTCACACTCAGGAATGTACATCCCTGCATTCCCGGGCATTTCTAAAATATGAGAATACAAGTCTCTATCGCACGCACGCATACACACACACACACACACACACACACACACACACACACACACACACTTGAATAGAAGAGCTGCTATACAGGAAGGAACAAAATGAGCTGGACAATTTAATATAGACTCAAAAAGAACAGTGAATGAACACTACATTGTGTAATATTTCTACTTATATTCTGGGTTACCACATACTTTGCATATCCAATCCAGTGGATATATTATTAGTTGACCTTCCTGATTCAACCCCACCAAAGGATTTGTGTTTCCCTCCAGTAGCGAACCCAAATGTGTAAACCATTACACTGTGGAGCGACCACTCATGGCCTGGCTACCATCCAATAATAAAGGCCCTGCATTTAAATGATCTTTGCCTGATTAAATGTACATGTTGCACTCTTTTCAGTTTATAATAATAAATCACTTTTATATCTCTAGAACCTTTTTGAGGAGGGAGAGATGTGTCCTTTTAATTTATGGTTACATAATTTGGTCATTGTTGGGAATACTAAATATGCGATCACTGTAGAAAGGACTAGATAAATAAAAACTGTTATATATAAAATCGCCATTGAACGCACAGGGAAAGAGGGTGTGGTATGTGTATCTTCCTCAAGCTTGGAAGTTGGAGTGTTTGGGGCATCTTAGCTGTTACTAACAGCTTGCATGCAAATATATAGATGCATTCTCCTACCTTTTCCATGGCTGACTTCTACAGTCCATGTGCAATTTAGAGAGTTAGGATACAGCTCAGGGTAGCCAGGTGATAAGATGATCCCTCCAGGTCCCCTGATATCACCGCCACATGATGCTGAATGGAACAAGAAGATAATGAAAGATAACTGTTGCTGGAAAAAAAAGGGTAAATTGTAAATGAACCAATAAATCCTTCACCTGAAGACAGAGGGGAGGTTAAGATGAATAATGCATTTGAGTCATATCACATCCTGTCCTGCTATTTTTATTTGCACCTGTAAATCTGGCACATGTGTGCACTCCAAACCAGCCCTAGTGCCTAACATGACAATACATTATTCATACATTTAGCTATCCACACAGATTTTCTGAATTCATGGTATCTTAAACTGAAAGAAATTGTTACAAAACATGATCATCTATTTAGTTAGAACACAAAATAACTTACAAGCATATTCAGAGGATTATAGCATCTGGATTTAGAATCATTATCACTTCAAGGTCGAAATTGATCTTTAAGAGAAACAGTTACCATTCAACTCATTTTCAGTCAGGTATAATCTAGTTGTACCCATGTAGAGGAAATGAAGAAGAGAAAGGGACAACGCATGTGGATTGGTGGGGTAAGGATTAATGTGTCTAAAGGTTAACTGGTGTAATTGAACACTGTTAAAGCCTGTAACCCTTTTCTCATGCTGTCATTAGATTTTGTCGTTTCACATAAAGGGCAGAGCTTTTTTGAACTCAGCATTAATGAAATGTGACAAGATTTGTGGGTTTTTTCCTTCTTGCATCTGCCTAAGTACGTGCTCTCTGACCTACGGGTGGCTTTGCAACCAAGCTCATGAATAGTTTCCTCAAAACAGTTAGAGTTGACAAATATTAGAAGTAGGACTGTTGTGAGTGTACACATTTTCAAAGTAATGAATGTCAGATGATATTTTGGAGGATAACTGGGATGCCTTGGGCTCCGCAGCTGTACACACCCACCCCCTACTCGAAACCTCTCTCCTTCCACCCACAGGCCTTCCAGCGAACACAACACATCAAGGCCTGAATCCTTACCCACCGACTAAATTACATCAAATATTTTATTAATGAGCCAAAATTACATAAAGTCATTAAAAGTGGATGAGTATGCTTGGCAAACGATCTACTTTAGAGGCTCCATAGGCAGAGAGCCAATGCATTTGGCACCAGTCTGGCACATACCTTGGCAAAAATATGCTCCCAGATATAAAATTAGTTTCAGAACAAGCACTGGTATGAAACTACAGTGTGGTACTGAGTCACATGTGCGGCATGCCAAACGTTGGATGTATTTTACTTGTTATTTTGTTTCTGCTGAGTGATCTGTGACCATTTTCACAAATGTTCTTCAGGTATGATACTAATGTAAACAGCACAAGAAGCAACATTGCTCAAATACAGCCCAGGGCATTATGTGGGCTATCAAATCTATCAAATCAAATCTATCTATACATGCTGCACCTCATGTTTTGATGTGAGGCAAAATTTGTCTTCCATATCACTTGATTTCCAACACCTCAGTAAGTTTTTCAGTAAAGCACTAGAGGCACTGTATTTTATGAATAAAAGGCACTTTTTTTATTTGTCAAACCTACTATGTGCTAAATGTTGCTACACCCATTGCTGGGTCTTTACCTTTTGTCAGAGTGCATCTTTTTTTAGGACTAAGAAGAAATCAAAGTAACATAATTGCCATTGTAGAGTTTGTGCCATCTACTGGTGGCAATATCCTTTAAGTACTGCGATTAAAAACTGTCAGTACATACTGTAAGTTAAAGAAATTACATCCCATTAAATGTGAGTTAAATATTCACTGAAATATTTAATTAAGGAATACATACATACCATCACAAGTGGGCAGTGGGTGGCTCCAAAAGTGGTTCTTCTCGCAAACTAGAGGCTCCTCGTGGCTCAGTCTATATCCTGGGTCACACTGGAAGGTCACAGTTGAGCCGATGGAAAGGTCGTGGCTTAACCGCAAGCCATTTACTGGGATACCAGGATCCATACAGGAGTATGTGTCCAATGTGACCACTGTAGAAATAAAAATGAAGCATTCTCTTTACATTGACAGTCTTTACATTGATATTTAAAGGAAGTTATGTATGATTTTACCTCATGTGTGTACTGGATCTTCTTCACACAGGTTACAAAGACTCTAGATGCAGTGTTTAGTGTTGCACTGAGCTATGCATAAACTAGCTGCATGTTTTTGACTCGTGACTGTTATTAAAATAACTGAGCCACACTCTTCACAGTTCTTGTGTGCACATGTGCACCTGGTATTAAGCAGAGCATTAGTGTAAAAGCGTCGGCTTTTCTATTTTGATACTAAATATAATATGACCTTTACACTCCTGAGGTGGATTGAAGTCACAGCATTCATGAAACATGAAATGCCAATTCTATTTTTGCATTCACTGAAACTTCCGTGTCACATTTTCCCTCTAAAAAAGTGTTGATTGAAGCTTTGATGTTAAAAATCACAGCAACAAAAGGCAGGTGTCAGGCCGCATGCATAATATAGAACGCAAAAAGATTTACTTTGCCTTTCTTTTACTGTTAACTTTAAAGAATCCTCTTATGACAAACAAACGACTCTTCAAACCAGGCTATGTTAGTACACAGTAGAGACTGCAGAAAAATGAAGTATTGCATTGACTGCCATAATGCCTGACAGTTTCTTCCTGAATAACCTTGATAGAGCTGTCAGCTTCTTTGATTTTTAAGAAAACAGGGTTTTATCTTCATGCCATTTAGACAGGTACTGTGGGATAGTAAAGGGCAGCAGCTTCATGGGGAGAGCGAATTCAGAGTATGACCTTGGTGAAACTGCACATCCACTTCATTTCCTTCTATACTATTCAGCTACTGGAAGACCACTTCACGTTTTTATTAAACAAAAGCACATTTGCCTGATAGTTTTACTCCTACAGTGAGCTAGTTTCATCTCTCTTAATTTGCAGTGATGCAAGTTGTAAAGAGATGCCCCCATTTTCCCTGTGATTTCCAGGACCGCCTTTTGGATTTCTTCCAAGTAGGGTTGCTTTTGATGCACTAAAAACATGCTGATTTTAGCCACTGACTGACAGTAGTTGTGTAAGCGGTTGTCAGGCCACTGGCGAGGAAGAATCTTAATATGGAAGGATTCATTTTCTGGAATTATAGAGACAGTTTATTAATTTCTGTAAAGTCAAAGTAACAAAGATATAGCTTAAAACAGGCATATGTTCACATGTTACATCTGGTGTCAGTGACTGTGAGCACTGCATGTATTTAAGTACAGCACATACACATGTAATTGCACTCCCTACAGAGACCTATAGCTCAAAACACAAACACTCAAAGTAAGTCAAATATATAATCTGAAAAGCTTTGTCATAGTATAGTTTACCTGTATGACCTGCAGAATTTCCTTGTAGCAATAGGGCAGAGTTGAATGGTGTAAGAAGATTTATAACCCATAGATAATTGTCATTAATAACTAGTGTGATCCGACCTGTGTGATAACAGAGAGATTGCTATCCTCTTGTAAGCCTCTGTAGGAAGCTTGCATTGCACTACTTTCATCATACATCATATGAATTTTGCTTTAATATGCAGAGCAGTCATTGATCACTGCTAGCAGTAGCCTCTAGGGTGCAGGTATTTGGTGGGAAAATAATTTCCTTACATCTCCAAGCCAATGGAGTCATGCCAAATACGTTACCGTGTAGTATGTTTTAAATGTTTGTGGCTAATTGTATAGCATGCTGTAATTTTTATTTAACTGACGAGGTCGAATTTTCCTGCACATAAAGGGAATGATGTAGTGCTTCTGTGCCTTACTTTATTCACAGGATAACTAACCCTTATTTTGCAGACTAATTTTACAAATGAAGTAGGCTAGTTTTCCCAGAAGTATTTTGGCAATAAGATATGTCCTAAAAGGCAATGGAAGAAGCTAATATGATCTTACTGTTATTGCTTTTCGATGGCCTCATCAACAAAAGCAAAATGCACCCGAGATTGAAACGTAATAAGACAAAAGCACTTGTGGCCTGCTTTCAGTCAATAACAGAGACATAATAACAAGCTCTGTCTTATGAATCAAATTGGAGTGACAGGGGTAATAGTGCTAGTGCAAACAATTGTGAAAATAAATCACAGTATGTCCAGAATATATTTGTACTAGACTTTTCAAAAACTACCATTCAATGCATAATGATGTATACCTTGTAGAGCTAATAGTTTGCTTCAGTTGTTTTGATTAGATTAACTTCACCTTACTCTGCGACCTTGTATTTGAAAGCATGGGGCTACCATTTGCACCTGACAAGTGGCAGTACATTGTTAACAATAGATTTGGGTTGCCAGTCGGTACAGAGGTGCAATCCCACATAGTCACTGTCATCTGGGATCACAGCTCCACAGACATCAAGTGCACTGTTGACAAAAAAAAAAAACCTTTCACTCCATTGAACTTGCGTCCTTTTTACTTTGAGTGTTTGTTTACATTTACAGCACAGTGTTTGATTTTCTCCCCTACCTGGATAATTTATATTGACCACTATGACCCTTCTATCCAAGAAGTCAGAATAATTAATGTTCAACTGCTTTGCTGGACATCATTAACAGCCACTTTTATGTTTGTTTAATGCACAAAATATTTACCAGCAGTACTTTCTAAAAGGCTCAAAGAGGGAATACGAGTAGCAGAAAAATATGTATGGATAAATATAGCAGCAGTGACAGACATAATGCTATGCCTCAATGATAGACCAAGCAAGAGTGATAGCACAGCGTGCACTATAAATCAAGCTAAATGAAGTTACATTCAATTAAGAACTTACACTGAGTCTGACTTCTGCACCAGCAATCACAATCATAAAGAGATTAAATGCAATGCCACAACTGAAGACAAAGCTTATGTGCTCAATGAACAAACCTATCATAAACAGTAAACATTCAAAGAGTGCACAGCCTTTGATGAGAAGAATTCTGGAAGTTGTATTCAATTTAGTTTTATACAGATAGTGTCAAGTCAGCTCAAGGCGCTTTATAGTCAAAGCTAAACAACCGACAATATTCGACAAGTGACTACAATTAATATACAAAGCTTGCCTGTTTGCCTTACCAAAGATCCAAGAGCGCCAGGTAAACAAATAACCAGCATGAAATGTACACTGTGAATTGTGAGGCTTTAACACTAGACAAGAGATGATCTAAAATTAAAAACAGCAGAGCGGACCTCTCCAGCTAAGCTAAGCACTTATGAAAAATTTAAAATGTTTCACCTTTAAATGTTAATCACAGTAACTAATCTGAACTCATGTAGTTAGAGAACCCACGCCAATTGAGGCATTTTGTTATGCTCTTGACGTGTAATAGACCTGAAATATTTCCTCAACAAAGTTTAATCTTGGCATTTGGTTTCAGAAACTTAAGTGCTACTAGAAAAGCTGACCAACTTCAGTCTCCAGTGCCTCTAGCTGAAGCACAGTTGAACTTGTTTAAAATTTTATTCTCTATGTCTAATTATAGAACTGAATGTGTACTATCTCATCTCATCCTTTTTTTTGTTGTAAAGAAATTACAGGCAATAGCACTATACTCTCACCTTCATAGAAGATCTTGAAGCCACTGTTTGATCGACTGTTATCGGTGGTAAAGAGCAGATACAGGAAGTTACTACTGCTGAACAGGAACTGAGGGACCTGGGTTCCATTAAAAGAGCCAATCAGAGGAGAGAGCAGATTGGGACCATCGTGAACCTCCAGGAAGTCATAACTGAGCTCAGTCTGAAACCTTAAAAGTTAAACAAAAGGACAGATGGACTTTAAGTATACATATTTGTTTAAATTAAATTTGGTTACCTCATACAGTTTGGTAAAAATGTGACAATACTGAGGTAATAAGGTAAAAACAAGAAGTTATAACCACTTAAAAATATAGCAATATCCCTGTATTTTGTACCAACAATGGTTTGAGCTGAGTAATATTACACTGAAACTTTTATATTGAGGTTAATAAGGCCTCACAAACTGAGCGTAGTGATGTGGAAACTTACAAGGCAAAACCAATTAGTACTAGTATAGAAGGTCTAGCAGTAAGGTCTAGTGATTTACACATTTGCTTAACAGGCAGGAGCAATAAAATGATAATATCAGTGTATTTGATTTTTTTATACTGGCTTTAAAGTTGTAATAACCTGGTGTTTCCAGGTGTAACCAGTCTTGATACGGGTTATTGCGTGGTATTCACTTGATATTTCTTTTGTAACTAAGTCACTTGTTTTTATCCCAATATTAACACAGTATTACCAAGCTGTAAAAAGAAAATGTAATTTCTTTTACAGAAAAACATCCTAATTTTCTGCAATGGGTAAAAAAGCGCTACAGCAAAAATTCCAATAATTGGAACAGTTCCTGGAAATGTGACATTGCTATGCATCTGTTGCAACCTTCTTAAC